CTGCACTGGTGTGTAATAGGCCTTGAGACGTATATTAGACAAACCCACCCTTCAGTATCTGACAGTCACCCCTTGGGTTTGGTGAACGGCTTTGAATTCTGCCAACTCTCGTGGCTTCCCTTCTCCCTCTGTGCGGCTGATCTTGGTTTGGGAAGCTCCCAAGTCAAGGAGGTACAGGCTAAAACAAAAGGAGTTTGGTGAGCTGGGACAGGATTGGGATTGAGAAGAGCCAAGAAGTGTTGTGCTCGTTCCTTCTTGACTTCTCTAAGTTTATATCGAGTCCTTCCCAGGGCCAGGTACGGGGCTCTCTACTCCCCGGGTTCCACAGTATGTAAGATGACACAGATTTGACTTCAAGGGATTCAAAGTCCTGTGTATGAAGTGAAGAGTAGGCTGTGTGAGGGAACTATGAATATATTGTATTATATTTCAATATCAGCACTCATAGGACTGCTCAGATACTAAGTATAGAAGTCTCATGTAAGAGCAAGAACTTAGTAAATGCTTAATTAACTATAGCTTTACAATCATCGTCATAAATTCCACTTGATAAGAGAGGAGGGACATGAGGGCAGCTTCTTGGTGTTTTCCACACTTGCGGCCAGCCCTCTGGTGGAATGGAATGCTGCAAACCTTCTGGCAACTTCACTGGTATGCTGGTATGCTGAGAGTGCCCAGTCATGGCAAGCAGACAAAGAATGATCTGACCAAACAAACATCCTGCTTTCAGAACAGTACAGAATGGCTTTCTGAAATAAATACCTATCTATCTTCAAAAAGCTCTCCACAGAAGCAGCCCACTCTCCACGTAGCAAGTCCTGTCCTGGAAGGCCGAGGGGATTACGCTTGAGTTAAAGTCAACAGCTCATGGATAAGCTTGTGTACGCCAGAGAGGTTCAGGAAGCCGGAAGAGGCGGGAGACAGCAGTGGTCCAAGTGAGGGAAGCACTGTGGACTTCAAGGGTTGAGACGACAAAAAGAATGCGCGAAATGGACAAAATTGCAGAAACGATGGGATGTTCAAGGTCTAAGGAAAGAGTGGGAGCTGCGTGCTCCCCAATAAGGCGGGGAGCAGCCACCTGCCTTGGGGACACACTACATGCAGTGGCACCTGGGTCACTGAAGGGAAGAGGGCCTGGGATGGGGGGGTCTCTGTTGTCAATATTCTCTGAAAGCTCTCAAAAGCATCACATATCTGGCATCTACTACACAAAATACTTGCCATAGGCAGGCACTGAGTGCCAGGTACTGAGTGCTAGGTACGGAGTGCTAGGTACTGAGTGCCTGGGATGCTCTTGAGAACTAGGACATGAATTTTAAGTTCAGTTTAAATTGAAATTCGCAGTACTTATGAATGATCAGGTGACGAGGGAACACGTTCTTGCTCCTTGCTGGAGCCCAGAAGCAGTTAAGTGATTACAGAAATCAACAAGGGTGGCACATCCTCAAAACAAACAGACAAACAAACAAACAATCACATGGTGGCCCAGCTATACTACTTACTGCTGGGCATTTACCAGAAGAGCTCCAAGTTAACCTCTTCTTTGCACATCAATACGTATTGCTAATATTTACAGTGCATTATATGATCTCTCTCTATATATATATCTACATTATATATAGATATAAAATTGTCAAAAGTTAATGAATATTTGCATGTAGTCATATAAACTTTCCTTGTATACACATCTCTATCAAAGCTTTTAGGCCTACGTTTGTTATACATTCCATTCCCTGACACAGCCCCGCTGCTTGGTAACAAACTCTTTCTCTATTCTATGACCGCTCTGTATATTTTACTCTGCAAAACCACCTGCAATCCTTTTGAAAACAAATCTCTGATCCTCTCACAGGTCAAATCTTAAAGTACTAAACCAAGAGACAGAAGAATTTTTATTCATTTTTTTTCTCCAACTGAAAAATGAATAATAACTTATAAGTGAAATCTTGGTGACACAAATGCAGATTGGGTTAGGTGGCCTGTCGTGTGGTGAAAACAGTCAACAGGGCCTGAAGCTACCTTTTTCAATCAGTAAGAAGGACTCTGCAGATATTCATTTAATGATGATTTGGCCTTTAGTCACCCTGCACCTAAGTGATCCCTACTGGATGGTAACAACAGAAGCTTTAGTGCGGCTGTTAAGAGTCTCTTCCCCACGTTGCCTTTAGCAACTCTCCTGTAGGAGACCCAGGAGGCTGAGCGGGTTTGCTCCATGAATAATACCAAAGACGTAGAGGTGTCAGCTGGGGTGTGTTACACACACAGGGCAAAGTCACAATCACAATCAAAACAGATACCATCATGGAAGTCTGGGGAAATGTGTTAATGGAATAGGCAAGTGTGCTATCAATCAGCTGCCAGAATTGCTCCTTGGTATACATTTGCCCCTGGCTGGGGTCTGTTTTATGGCTGCGAACATTAGCCAGCTCTACACAAAGAAGCAGAGAAAGCAATCTGGCTCTGATGCATTACCCCCACCCCCACCCCGTCACACCGCATTGCTCCTGTCTCTCACCTTCTGTGGCAATGAACACCCACTGCTTTCAGGAAGTGGCTGCAGAGGTGTCCTGGGTCTTCCAACCCTGCTTTTGCACTAGCAAGGCTGCCCCTTGCATCTTCAAGTACCAAGGACAGCCCCCAGCCCGCACCTGTCTTCGACAGTTTAATCCTCCGTTACACTCTATCATAGTCAGAAAGCAGAATAGTGACTCCCAAGGACAAAGGGTGCTTACGCTGTTTGGTAATTCACTTCCGATCATCTCCTACTTCTATCTACATCCAGTTGCCAGTCTTGAGATTTATGGTTACAATTTGCGGGCAGTCATTTTTCCTTTTTTCTGAGCAGAGAAGTATGGCTCCACTGGCATTCTAGAGCCCCCTTTTTTTTACCCGCTTCATTCCACGGAGGTTTGGATGTAGAACAGGTAACATCTTTCTGAAGAGTTCTTCTCAGGCATCCTAACACAAGTTGTCTGTTCCACCACCAACAAAGAGAAGCAGAGGTTGCTGGGAATAAGCATGAACACAGACCTCCCGTGTCTATTATGTCACCAAACTGCACCACAGCCCTCAGCTCATGCCTCGTCAGTTGGGAATGGATGTAGAAGGTGCTCTTCTCAGACAGTGAAAAGCAGGATGTGTAACATATTTCATACAAACAGAAGCATAACTATTTTACATCACATACAGTGATGCATGCAAGGTTTCTACCGATCTTTAATCTGGGGTTTCTACTGATCTTTAATCAATAAATGAACACCTCTTGTAACCACCACAGCCACTGTCTGAAGGGAAATGGATGCAATGGGGTTGCCTGGAGGTATGTGAAAATCCTTTCATTCACTCCGCAGTTACTTAAGCACATCCTCAAATCTAAACTTCTTTTCAACAGCAATGGGAAATTTCTAGGAGTGGCACAGAGATCAACTTCAAACGCCATCCTGACAGGAACATTCCAAATGCCCTAATTAGAAGATGTGACTTAACGAGGTTTTTATGCCACATTACAAACCCAGAAGAACGCATCTGGACTTGGTTGTCTACACTGACATGCTCTGTTTATACGTGGCTTAAAGAAGTGCTCGTTTGTCCTTCAAAGAGCCAAAGTTAGCCTTGGAATGGCCCAGTGGGGGGCATAATACCTAAAGAACAGAACTGTAGACAGAAAAAGACACTTTCAACCATTTCAAAGCAAGGAAGGTTTTTCGTAGATGAGTGGCAACGGGGGAAAAATAATCTTTTTTTTTTTTGATGCAATCTGAGCTTGTACTAATTTTTCTAGAAATAATGAACTCTAAGAGGAAAAGACTGACCAATTCCTTAAAGTTATGAGAGTGAGAGTAAGAGTCGAGGGGGATGCTGGAGTGCCCCTACTCTGGATGATGGCCAGCTTGCTAGTGTCTTTACACTGTGACTTGACAGTGAGGAGATATCACTCTGTTACGGCTATTATGTGATTTCTTGATTTCCATTAATTCACTGTCCAATTAGAAAACAGAGACACACAGAGAGAAGTTAAGGACTCTGGAGTCTGAGCTCAGAGACTAGACCTTTCGCCTCCACTCCAGCCTGCCTCCAGTTTCATCTCTACTGACATGGGCCTTCTGGTGGTGACTCTGGCCTGTTCACAACCTCAGAGCCTATTTCTGCGTGCCCAAGCTACTCTGTGGCACACAAGGCACGTGAGCACTTTTTCAATGACTGTGACTTGCCCAGGTTATAGAATCTTATTGCTGATTAGGGAAGGTGGTAGGACACAGGGCGTTCCAAAGGTTGGGAAGCTTGAGCCTGGTGTCAATATTGCGGGCCACTTCCACCTGCAAGGTCAGCACTGACTACTAGAACATTCCAAGCAACATTCTCATAACTGTTTCCTTACTTTTTCCTTCCTTCCTTCCTTCCTTCCTTCCTTCCTTCCTTCCTTCCTTCCTTCCTTCCTTCCTTCCTTCCTGATACCTACCCCTCATTTCCTGCCTCCAACTTTCCTTGGACCCCCCCCCCAACTTGTACCTCAACCAACTTCATGTCCATTAAAAATGTATCCCACTGAGTTCAGTGTGGACATGGGCATAGGGCCATCCACTAGAGCATGGACAACCTACCAGTGGTCACAATACCTAGCTCCTTAGCTAGGGGTGAGGCCTTGGGAGCCCCACTCCCATACATCCATCTTCATGGTTCCGAATAGTTCTAGAAATTTCTACTTGGGTAACTGCAGTTCCCAGCTGTGGGGAGTGCAATTCCTGAATCACACCTTCCATATAGGAACGTATTATTTGCGACCCAATCTACATCACACTCCCAAACTTTGCGTGCCTCTAGCCAGGAAACAGGTAGGCCGATGTAGTAACAGGAAATACTCTAGGTGAAATAGTAATCGGGATTTGTCAATGATTGGGAGGTCTTGAGGCCATGTGCCCCAGCCTCTTCCTAAGCATAGAAAATGAGAGGCAAAAGTCACTTCAGATGGTCCAGAAGCGGACACTTTTCTATGTACTTACCCGTGCAGTGAAGTCCACAGCAGCTGCCCTGTTTAACAGCAACGTGGCTACATTAATGTTCCCATAGTGAGCAGCTATGTGGAGCGGGGTGAATCCACTCTGTCAAGAAAACACAGCAGACGTTCAATTCCTGCCTGCCGGGCCCTCACCTGAAACCTTCAGATCCTAGCCTGGCCCAACTCAAAACGAGGAAACAAAATATGCTAGGGTCCACAGTCCACTGTGTGCCGGGCTTTTGTCAGGGCCAATGGCTCATAGGGTTTCTAACAACCCCACACTCACAGGCAGAGGAAGAGCCAGGGCAAACCCAAGGGCAGACACTGATCAGGTTTAGTAACAGAACGATGCAGAAGCCAACATTTCAAGAAGTGGAAACAGGAACAAGGGAAATCTTCACAGTTCATAGCTGAACAGCTCGATTACTAGTGCCGTTTGTCACCGAGGAGAGAACTGGCCTTGGAAACTCTTGATCCAAAGTCAATTAGGTTTATATATTCAATACAGATTCATGTTAATCAACAGTAAACGTCCATTATAATAAGGACTAAAGTGATTTTAGGTGTGTAGAGCTATTATCATAAAGTTGATTTTTGTACCACAGAAGATATAATTCTGTAAAGAATCTATATACTGATCTTTTTATTAGCAAGTGCTTACTCGATAACACGATTTTCTAGATACTTCTCTACCATGGTCAAACTTCCTCTAAAAAAAAAAAAAAAAAAGGCTAAACATGCAACGGTTCACTTATTTTCCCCAAAGATCGAATCCTTAGAAGTGATGCATGTCTAATGTATCAGCAAGCTTCTCAGCCATGCTAGCCGTCCCTGCATCTCATGGAAGGTGGGTCAGTTTGCATCCTTCTGATTAAGGTCCCTTTGGCTGACACCATGGAGGGTAAGTGTCATGCAGAACCCTAAAGACTGAGCCTGGAGGAGGAGAGGAGGGACAGGGGTGTCTGCAGCTTGTACGGCCGATAAGCATCGCAAGGACCCAAAGGGCTTTGCCTCTGTTCCAATACACTTAGGTATGACGATCCCTAAGTCTTCCTTCCCAGTGCCAAGCTCAGCTGCAGAAAGCCCTGGCAGTCGACCTGTTGTGGGCTCTGGCACATGCTCCTTCGGGGACAGGGTGGAAAGCAGGAGTCTAGCCTAGGAAGGCGATGCGGAGAAGGCAATGAGGCAGCAGCACTAGGACATGGGAAGCAATGGAGCAGATCCGGGTTATACAAGTACGGATACATATACACAGATATATATATATATACCTCGGTTGGTCTATTCACCACCATCTAGGTTAACACATTGGGAAGCAGAGGAGGAAAAAATGAACGTTAGTTCACTGTCGGTGACATGGACTGCACAAAGCTCATGGCGGCTAAGGGATGACGAGAAAGCTATGACGGAAGCAAATCAGGCAGGAGGAAGGCTGGACTGACAAAGCTGGACTCCATTTCCTCCACACAGACTCCGGGGTAAGACGGGCAAGACAACAGACGTCCGGGCCGTGGCTCTTTCCCTGCCGGCGTGCTGGCCTGGCTCCCCGACCCTGGGCACGCCGCCCCGCACGGCCCGGGTCACAGGCTCATCCGCGCACACTGGGTCGGGCCTTTGGAACCGTCCACCCCATGCTGCCCTGTTTGGCACGGTCCCGGGGGACAGGGGATGCGTGGGAACCTATTCTTTGGAGGCGGCAGGCAGCATCCGGGCCTCCACGCTGCGTCCTGGCACGGACACAGCCTCCCCCGTCCGGAGAACGCACGTGTCCCGCACGAGCTCGCTAAGGGGGAGCCCAGGCGTTCTGGAGGCTGCGGGCTGACATGGGACAGGGGTGCCGGGCCGTGAGCTCCGGGCCTCACCTTCGACTCCACGTCCGCGTTGTTGTCGTTCTGCAAGAGCAGAGCGGCCGCTTTCGTGTCGTCTTTCCGGGCGGCGATGTGAAGAGCCGGGAGGCGCACTTTGCCCTTTGTGTCATTTTCCAGCAGGAGAGAGACCACTTGGTCGTGACCCTGCTGCAGAGCCACTGCCAAGGGAGTGAAGCCATCCTGCAGGGAGAAGGCGGGTCAAGGTCGGGCCTGGGGCTGCCTTTGGGCTCCATCACCAAACAGGGAGGCCACAGGGTGACCCCAGTTCTCCCCTGGGGTTTTCAGTGTTAGCACACTTTAAAGCACGTTTATGAAAAGACACGTTCTTATGTATGCATATATACTCAAATTAAAAGACAGGAAATTTCTACTCTCTTTTTTCACATGTTCAAAAGTAGTAATTAGCCAGGCACCACGCCTTTAATGTCAGCACTCAGGAGGCAGAGGCAGGCAGATCTCTGTGACATCCAGGTGAGTCTGTTTGCATTGTAAGTTCCAGGCCACCTGGGGCTAGAGGGAGACACTGTCACACACTCACACATAAAACCAGAAACAAAGCATCAATAACAAAACCAGTAACTATACAGTAAGTGGAAAAATTTTGAAAATATGCAAAAGTACATCATCAAAAAGAAAACGCCAGACTCAATAAACATAAAATAATTTTGATGAAAGAGTAATCTCAAGTTAAAATCTCAAAGATTACTTTAAATGAGATCTAACATCTTCCACTGAAACTTTAAAAAAAATTTTATTTTTAATTATTTTTTAAATTTTATTTATTTTATGCGTGTGCGTGTATTGCCTGCATGTAGGTAAGTGCACCCGTGTCGTGCAATGCCTGCGGAGGTCAGAAGAGGCCGCCGGATCCCCTGGGACTGGAGCATGTCCCAGTTTTTTTGATATTTTATTTATTATTTTTATTTTATTTGTATGAGTGTATTGCCTGCATGTATGTGAGCGCACCCGTGTCGTGCAATGCCACAGAGGTCAGAAGAGGGCTTGGGATTCCCCTGGAACCGGAGTTAAGGACAGTTCATAGCCACCATGTGGTACTGGGAATCGAACCCGGGTCCTCTGCAAGAGCAGTCAGTGCTCTTAACCGCTGAGCTATCTCTCCAGCTCCTTCCACCAAAACTTTAAAGTTAGAATAGTTGTTCATTATTCTATGGCTTAGCCTATGTCTGGAGCACATGAATTAATGGACCATGGTCATCACCACTTTAAGAAAGACATGTATAGTAAAGGCTCCTGACTTCTCTAACCAATAGAGACAGATGACATAGGAATTGTGCAAAGCCTGACTTTACTATTTGGTAGTAATGATAATATCTGATAACTGTACATATTTATGGAGTACAAAGTGGTGTTATGATTTATGAATGCAATGTTGATTGATGGAATGATGTAAATTAACATATAAACCACCTCAAACGCTTCATTGTGGTGAGACCATTTGAAACGTATTCTGCCAGCAATTTTGAACTATGCAATCTGCTCTTACTATGTTCTCTCTCTGCTCTGTGCCGTCGCTGCCCCCGCCCTACTCCTTCTGGGGCCACTTCGCACTTGTTCTAGCCCCCTGAACCCTGGGTACCCATCATTCCAGCTTTCCTTCTCTAAGTTGAGTTAAAGAGAATTTTACAGCACACTGTATGTGCACATGTGCACACTCCGTGTGCCCTTTGGAGTTCCCTGGGACTTGACAAAGAGGACATAGCTATAGATTTCACAGTGGTCCCTGAAACTGTGTCTGGTGTAGTCCTGTTGATCACAGAATAAACAACACAGACTAGATGCCCTAACACTGGCTCACATGATAATTTCATTGTGGTTTTTTAAAAAATTATACACTCAAAAGAAGATTGAAAAATGATAATTTTTACTGGAGAATGGGCAAGCAAGTTACTTATTTTTTTAATGTAGTCATGATTATTTAACGTCTGTAGTCATTTGGTACAAATATTGGTTACTTGAATTCTTTTTAAAATATTTTAAAATATTTAATATTTTTATTTTATGTGTATGCGTGTATTGCCTGCATGTAGGTAAGTGCCCCCATGTCGTGCAATGCCCATGGAGGATAGAAGAGGCTGTTGGATCCCCTGGAACTGGAGTTACGGACAGTTGTTAGCTGCCATGTGGTGCTGGGATTCGAACCCGGGTCTTCTGCAAGAACAGCCAGTGTTCCTAACCACTGAGCGGTCCCCCCAGCCCTGGTTACTTTAATTCTAATGCCCTTTGGCACCACTTTTGTCAGCCACTCGTTTGCTGGAAAATTGGTAAGTGCTTCTACAATTACCTGGCTGAAAGAAAATCAGCAAGCCCATGTTCACGGACAGCAAAACCTCAGCCAGAGCATGTCCATAAGTCTCTCCATAAGAACCCTAGTCGCCAGGGTTCGCTACTCACTGTGGGTGTCCCTCATTCCTAGGGTGACATCTCCCTTCCTAAAATGCTCTCCCTTCTTCTGCTCCCTGTATTTAATCCCTGTCTACACTCCCTGCCTCTGGATCGGGCCACTGGCTTCTCTTAACTCTACCACCCAAGAAAACAGGAAAGCAAAGCTAGTCCCTAAAGGTTCAGCAAGAAAACCAGCAGGCAGAGACAGAATCAAAATGTCACCAAGACAAGCTTGCAGATTACCCTTAAGCATATGTAGTCTAGAACACACTGTAATCTTAGAAAAGCCGTGTCCATGAGAATCAACATAGAATTTCTTGTTCTCAATGATAAAAATCCACGTACACGTATCTGAACAATGATACGGATGAATAAACCAACCAAGCGTTATGTCTACAGAAAATTTAGAGTGAACATTTGTTTATTGTATTTTGTGACTGAAACAGTGCTGGGGATCAGACTCAAAACCTGTGCTTGCCAGGCTTCCATACCCGCCCCCCCCCAAAATAAGTTTTGTAGAGTGATAACAGGAAAATTGTGTAAGAGGAGTCAATTTTGCACCTCAATTTAAAAATTGGAAACAGTATAAGGGTAAAAAATGACAGCAGATTTCTGTTTTGAGTCAAAACAAAAGGGCTCCATGTTCACTGTTGTGATATGTAAATTCAGAGAGCCTGTGCATAAAAGGCAATACTTTGCACTAGAAAATACACTGCAGATAATCCGATTAGCACGAGTAAGAATACGATCCTAGTATAAGGCAATGAAGGACCCAAAGATACCCGCTCTGAGGTGTAACTGCTAAATTTAGCAGCTTTGGCTTTTGGTCCAAATAGACTGTAACAGTCTTCGCAGTCATTCTTATGAGGAGGACAAAAAGTCAGAAAGTAAATGTGGTAAAACTCCTTGAAAGAAGGGCTCAGCCCTGGTGGCTGAGGGTCACAGCATCACTGCCTTGCGGCACATGTGATAAATACTGGGCCGTGAATTGATTGCTTGTGGAGAAAATAAGAAATTTTGCTTCAAGCTTCAGAATAGTCATTTACAAATGAATGCTTTAAGTGCAAAAGATAAAGTACGCAGTGCACAGCAATGTTAAAAAATGTCTCAAAATTCAGCCCTCCCATGCACTTGATATGTATACACAAGATACAAGTGTGTCATGATTATTGGAAAAATTATAGTTAAAGGCACCTGGGGCTAGAGCGTAGCTCAGCAGTAAAGTGCATGTTTTGTATAAAGCACAGCCCTGGGTGTGAGCCCCAGCACCAAAAAAAAAGGGGGGGGGATTGGCAGATCATTTAGTAAATAAAAAATCATATTTAAAATCTTGCTATTGTACTGTTGGTTCTGTAAATACTAACACTGTCTACAGGACATCAGTAACCAAGGATGGCTAAGGGAAAAGCAGCATCATAGTTAGAATACCCTATAAATGAAACTTTTTTCCTTTCCAACACCAATGACCTGAAAGAGGAGAAAAAGCTTAGTGGAGGGATGGCATATCTGTGGGGACTCAGATGTTATCTTCGAAGAGGTGAGACAGCAACTTGAATAAAAACATGGGCGTGTTTTGTATTTATAGGTTATTTTCCATAAAATTAAAAATTGATAACATGAAATTAAATTGCTGAAAAATGACACCAACATCTACTAAGCCAGTTGCCCACTGGTACATATTTAGGTGCTGTTCAGGTTTTAAAAACTGTTACTGCTAAATATGTTAATATTTTATATACTATTTTTATACACTATTTTTTACCTTCCCTAAAAATTTTTGGTACGTTTTTAGCAACAAATGACATAAATATTGACATTTGACAGACCACCAGATGTTCAGCAAATGTGTTGCAACTGCTTCTTAATTTGAACAATGCTATAGAAGATTCTAGCTTCCTTCCACCACCGTTTTCTACTTCTAACTCGGGCAAATCTGGATTTTCTTCTTCACCTGATTGACACGTTCATATTTCATCTATCTGCAAGCAGGCATGTGCTCACATAGCATGGTCCTGCGTCTGCCTTTTTGTGTGAACTGTCTCTTCATCTGTTGGTGGTTTTCTAGATACAATCTCGACAGCTAGGCAAGGGTAAACGCAGCTTTCCATTAGTCTTTCCTGTGCCATTCAGCAGACACACCCGCCTCTGCCTCAGAGGAATGGCTTTGCGGCCGGGAAGCCCTATATCTGCTGGAATTCACTGTAGATTTAAAATGAAGAATATCCCAATACTGGTCCTTTACTATTAGCAATAGATTTTGAGAGACATGCTTAATGACTGATCTATACTGTCTTTGTTTAGAATAAAAATTATATAACCTAACATAGCACTAGAGGCTTATATAACTTCCTCTTTTTAAAACAATTCCTTTAGTCCAGATTATAGAGGTGCCCCCTCCAATATTAGTTAGTTAAAAGTATATGATGGTTTTGTTTAGAAGTACAGATGAAATCTAATTAGTTAATTTTAGAAATATACAAATTCAATCATAATTAGCATAACAAATTTGGAAAAAAACATTTATAGTTAATGTTTCACTGAAATAATAATTCAAAACAATGGCTGCCTTGGAGGCAAGATTATTAAGAGGCAAAAATTATTATTAAGTAAATATGGTAAAAATTAAAATAATAGCTCAATTATAGGGTAGACCAAGCTCTTGAGACTACAAAGGGTTTCTGTGCAATGGGGAGAATTATCAAAGGTTAAAAATAGATTTTAAATTGCATTTCATAAAAACCCACACATTAAGTATGTAATAGTCACTGAACTCCCAGTGGGGTAAATGCTCAGCTCTAGGTTTTCAAAGTGCTTCATAAACATGTGCACTGAACCCTCAGAGGGCCTGGAGCGCCTTACCTCTGTGGCTAGGCTCTGACTGGCACCGTTGTCAAGAAGAAACCTGACGACTTCCAGATGGTTCTCTTGGGCTGCCATATACAACGGCGTGAAGCCATTCTGCAAAGTAAGACAGGAGAGTTGTGTGGGCTGCTTTGTAGAGCTGGTTCATTTCCCTGGTATGGAGAGGTATGCTCGGAGAAGAAGCAGTCCCATGTAACATCTTCATGATGCTTTGCTGTAGACAGCCATGGTTACTAGAACACCTTGGCACCACAGCCTACACCACAGCCATGCATGATTTGAGTATAATTCGTATTATACTTTACAATCACAGTTAGAGTGCCGATCATACAAGTGTTTAGTTTCTAGTTCATAATCAGCCATCTAAGTCAAATTCATAGCAATTTATGTACTTTAGATAAATAAGTGTATTCATTTAATCATCACCCACATATGAAACACCTCCATGAATAGTGTTTTATCTCCTCATGCTATGAGATGAAAAACATGTTCACTCGGCATGCCTCCCAAGCGCCAACCACTTATTTTAAGTAAAGATATACTGCTTTCACAAAAAAGGAGGCACTGCAGGTCTATGCTGGGTTTTTGTCTGCTTGAGTTTGCACGGGTCTTGTATATGCTGACACCATTGCTGTAGGTTCATATGAGCAGGGTCCCAGGAGCCTGTAGGACTCTGTTTCCATGTGGTCAGGTACCTCCTCCCTGACCCTTACAATCTTTCTGCTCCAATGGCAGTACGCCTCCGCTTTAGTCAAAGAACGATGGGCAGCTGATCACTGCTGGGTGAGGAAGAACTGATCTTCTTTAAGGGAGAGACTCTAGATAGGCTGACTAGACCCCAGTGAATGAACTTGCACTGAAGGACATTTGGGAACACTAACTTGACTCCATAGGGCCCTATACATGTATGACAGAATGCATGAAATGGGGGGCGGGGAGCTACAGGGAGTTTGGATGGGGGAGGGAATATAAAGATAATTAAGATGTTCTATATGAAAAGCACAAAAATTCAATGAAAATATACATTGAAAAAGCATGGGGCTTGAGAGATGGCTTGTCAGTTATGAACACTGCCTGCTCTTGCAGAGGATCTGGGTTCAATTCCCAGCACCCACATGGCAGCTAACAACCGTCTATAACTCCAGTTCCAGAAAAATCTGACACCCTCTTCTGACTTCTGCAGGCATTGTACAATACATATGCACTTATCTATACGCAGGCAATACACTAATATACATAAAATAAAAATAATAAATAAAATACTTTTTTTTGTTTTGGTCTTTTTGAGACAGGGTCTCCCTGTAGCCCCAACTGTCCTGGAACTCACTATGTAGAGCAGGCTGGCCTTGAACTCACAGAGATCTGCCTGCCTCTGCCTCCCAAGTGCTGGGACTACAGGCCCAATAAAATACTTTTTAAAAACCATGGTGAGGTGATATTTTGGATATAACAGGATTAAAATGAAAACATATGAAACAATTTAAAAAAATCATCCCAATTGAAAAAAGAAGTAGGATTTTCAAATAGCTTGGAAAGGAATTTATTTTAATCTCAAATTGCTTCAGAATCATCACAGATGAGATTATGTGGAAGAAAGAAATTATCACCTTGCAAAGTGTTGTGACTGAGCTTAACCGTTCCTTACCATGGGCTTTCTTTGGTGGAGACAAGGTCTCACATAGCCCAGGTTGGCCTAGAACTCAGTATATATTGATTGGCGGCTTGCCTTGAACTTTTGATGCGCCACCTCCCAAAAGTTGGAATTACCAGCATGCACCTCCACGCGTGGCTTCCTTTTCTTTTCGAGGGCCATCTCAGCATTAGTAGCTGAAAACTGCTCTTTCTCAGAGCAGTCACATTCCTGTTTACCTCTTTATTCTTAAAATATTTGTTTATAGATATGTAACTTATATCTCATAAAACTCAGCCTTCACCATGGACAGTTCATTGGGGCAGCTAGCCTCACCAAGCAAAAGCCACAGCAAGATGCATCCCCTCTGACTTCACGTCATTCCATCCCCTGTACCTCATGGTACTAGCACTTGCCCCACTCTGTAACCCTGGTAACCATTTACCTCTGTTTAGTTGCTTTTTATTTTACTTATTATTTTAATTTTTTGGGTGTGTGTATGAGTGTATTGCCAGCATGTATGCAAGTGCACTTGTGTCATGCGATGACTGCAGAGATCAGAAGAAGGTATCGGATCCCCTGGAACTGGAGTTTTGGGTGGTCATTAGCTGCCATGTGAGTGTTGGGAACAGAACCTGGGTTCTCTGTAAGAGCAGCCAGTGTTCACCACTGAGCTCTGTTCTCAGAGCTGAATTCTGTTCAGTTTCTATGGCTTTGTTTACTTTTGACATTTCATATAAATGCAATCATACAATGCCCAACCTTGAAGGGTCTTATGACAGTTCTGTTACCCACACTGATAGGATGTTTTGGTTCATCTTTTATAATGATGTCTATGGTTTTAATATTAAATGTCCCTGTGGGACTTAATTGAAGACTTGCTCTTCAATTAAGTTTTCAGGGGAGGGGTTCTTGGGAAGTGATTGGCTCCTGAGGGCTCTAAAGTAATCAATGGATGAGTCCGCTCACAGGTCCATATTTGATGGTATCCCTGGGCAGCGGTGGAAAGCATAAGATGAGGCCTGTGGGGAGTAGGCCGCTGGAGGGCATGCCATTGCAGGGGCTGCCTTGTCCTGGCCCTATCTGACTCCCCCTGCTTTCTGACCCCGTGGAGGTGAGTAGCTGAACTCAGCCAAACCTTGTTTGGGGTGATGCTTTCCCTTGTGTCAGGCCCATGAACAACGGTCGAGCACTTGTGAGCCCAAATACATCTTTTGTCCTTTTTTTTCCAGGCATGTTGTCATGGTAACCAAACTGACTCTCGGAATGGGCATTCCATTTTAAAGTGAGCATTTGGTATACTGCATCTGACCGTGCGTCAGTGTTGGTCAACAGCACGTACAACGTCCCCCTCATTTCACAATGTCTCGCTAATTTTCTTCTGGACTATTAGTCTTTCTGCTCGGCAGGCAGGATCTGTCTTGTTGGACTTTGAGATGGGTGGGCCGCTGCTCCCTGACCTATACTTATGGAGTAGACATATGTACATGCTATGTTTGTTTACTTTCAGATCTTCTCTCCCGAGTCTTTTCTCTGCTCATGCCCCATGCCCAGCCTCGATTGCAAGGACCGCATCAAAGGACTGTCTGGATCTCTGGCTCTGTCTAGGTTTACCCGCCTCCTGCCCTAAGTTTCCATTCTCCAGGGCTTTCTGAAGCATCTCTGGCCTTCTGTTCTCAGTGTCCTCAATCCAACTCCAACCCTCATTGAACATTTACTGTCCGTAAATTCATTTCTGCTCCTTTAATTCAAGTAACTCCAATTAATACACACATTACCTATCAATAATGCATCAACAAGGCATGAGAAACAGATCATCAATCTGGCTTGATTCTAGGCAGAGAACAGCAAATGTCCTCTGAGAAGACTAATGTCACCATCAGCCTCCAGCTTAGGGGCTTAGGCACAATCCAATGTGTTGTCACTTGACAAGCTATGGCTATACTGTTTGTGAAATGGCACCTGGACTAGGGGGATGGCCAGGCTTCATAAAGATTTTCTTCTCCATTTTCATATTAATTTCCTAACTTGGAAATCTCCAAAACAAAGCTGGTGAAAAGAAGAATGTACCAGAGCCCAATTTACATTTTTCTTCTCTGTGGCAACAATAGATTTAAGCCCCAAAGGGCAGAGCAGCTTAAGTCGCAGTCAGTATGCTATTTAAAGTCTGATTGTATCTATTATCTTCAACACCTTCTGCTCCCAATGTTTACAGTGCAGCTATTATAAGCATGCAAATATGCAGACTTATAATTTTGCAGCTAGCGCTGAGGCATGCTCCATCACACTCAACACCACAGAGTAAATTAAAAAACCCTCTTGTGATTTAGAGACATACATTTCATTGGTGACGTTTCCCTAGCCACACTTTCCCGTGTCCAATTACTCTATGCTGCAAATGATTTCACTGAATTCTGTGCCACACTCATGTCTGTAATTGGCAGATGAGAGATATGACACAAGGTCAAAAGTCAGAGTGTTTGTCTGTCTTTGTGAGGATCTGGCCTTTCCAACATAGGGAACGTGAAGACACAGAACACACTGGCTGAAAACTCTGCAGCCTCCCAGTGCAACGGCAGGCTTTGCCTTTGGCCTGTGATGCAGAGAGCTGATTGTTTGCAGAGGCAAAGTCCCTTTCACAACGTATTTGAGCTATGAATATATTGTAATGAACAAGAGATTATTGGAATGTAAAGTAATTCAAGAAAGGCTTAACTAATTGCTAAGACTTAATGATCAAGGCAATGATCAAAACTCATTTAAAATAAAAATCTACAAATTTTAGTTATAGGGTCCAAATTTATATGATCAAAATTTGGATGCTGTGCCATGTCATTTTTATTGTTTTTTTAGAAATTGTTTATTATTTTTATCTTATGTGTATGAGTGTATTGCCTGAATGCAGGTGAGTGCACCCGTGTCGTGCAGTGCCCGCGGAGGACAGAAGAGACTATTGGATCCCCTGGAACTGGAGCTATGGACAGCTGTTAGGTGCCATATGGGTGCTGGGATTTGAACCTGGGTCTTCTGCAAGAACAGTTAGTGTTCCTAACCGCTGAGCCATCTCTTCAGCCCACATGTCATTTTTATTAAGCTAAGGACAATTTTTATATTCAAGGAGGGTTAGGGCTCATGACTCTTTTTTTAAAAAAATATTTATTTATGGGCTGGAGAGATCGCCCAGTGGTTAAGAGCACTGACTGCTCTTACAGAGGACCTGGGTTTGATTCCCAGCACCCACATGGCGGCTACAAACCATCCTTAACTCCAGGTCCAGGGGAACCCAAAGCCCTCTCCTGACCTCTGCTGGCATTGCATGACACGGGTGCACTCACAAACATGCAGGCAATACACTCATACCCATAAAAAAAAAAATTATTTACTTTTATGCTATGTGTATGAGTGCTTTTCCTGTATGTATGTAAGTGCACCCATGGTGAGCAATGCCCTCTGAGGCTAGAGAGGGCATTGGATCCCCTGGAACTGGGGTTTCAGACAGTTGTTAGCTGCCATGTGGATGCTGGGAATCGAATCCAGGTCCTCTGTAAGAGCAGCCAGTGCTCTAACTGTTAAGCCACCTCTCCAGTCCCTTACTTTACTTTTGACACACAGTTGCATGGGTCCCAGGCTAGTGAACTCCCCACGTAACCAAAGATGACTGTGAAGTTTGGACCCTCCCGCCTCCACTTCCCAAGTGCTGGCATTAGAGGCATGCACCACCATGCTCAGTGTGTGTGGTGCTAGGGTTGAACCCCGGCTTTCCACACCCTAAGCAAGCACTCTACCACCTGAGCTACAACTTCAGCTCCCATTTAATCTTTTTCCTGTTGTTGCTGACTTTTGGGTCTTTATTTAAATTCCTACTGAAGAGTTGCTACACGGACTTATCATCCAGCCTCCTTCCCTCATTGCCCGGATACAATTTTGGAGGCATACAAGGCAGGTGTCCAGATGGAGAGGAAGCACAGTGCAGTGTGTGGTGCAGGGGAGGGGATGCACAGGCTCCATTCTCCCCTCAGGCATCATCAGTACGGACCAGACCATGTAGAAATTGAGATGAAAGCTGACTGGGGCTTTATTTCCACCACAGTTCCCCCAGCCACTACATACCAGGTTTATGTGTAGAAATTGAGATGAAAGCTGATTGGGGCTTTATTTCCACCACAGTTCCCCCAGCCACTACATACCAGGTTTATGACTGTCTGCCCTAAGATGCAATCAAGAATGTGTGTGACATTTAGAAGGAGATCATCTGTACTCCTTCTCTTTGGAAAATTAAAAAGGAATTGGAAATGGGTTGTAAAGTTTCCCTACTAGCTTATAGCCTATAGTTAACTAGTTCTCAGTAGATGAGATTATAGTAAGAGTCTGAAAAAATAATCAGCTTAAAAGCACAACGTGGGCTGGTAAGATGGCTAAGTGGGTAAAGGTGCTTACTGTCAGGTTTGACCGCCTGAGTTCCATCCCTGGAACCCACACAGCAGAAAGCGGGAACCAACTACTGCAAATTATCCTCTGACCTCCACATGTGTGCCACAGCTCACACGTGTGCCCATATGCACACACACATAGATAAAAGTAATTTAAAAACAGTGCTATTTTTTTAATTTAAAGAATTGTAACATGTGTATAGTGTTTTGTCTGCATTTATGTAAGTACAACCATGTTGTGCAATGCCTGTGAAGGTCAGGGGTAGGCATCAGATTCCCCGAAACTGGAGTTATGGATGGGCATCAGCCACTATGTGGGTGCTGGGAACAGAACCTAGGTCCTCTCATGACTGCTGAGTCATTTCTCCAGTCCCCAACACAGTCATATTCTTTTTTTTTTTTAAGTGTATGAGTGTATTGCCTATATACATGTAAGTGCACCTGTGTCATGCAATGCCTACAGAGGTCAGAAGAGGGTGCTGAATTCCCTTGGCACTGGAGTTATGGATGGTCATCAGCCACTACTTGGCTGCTGGGAATTGAACCTGAGTCCTCTGCAAGAGCAGCCAGTGCTCTCAACTGCTGAGCCACCTCTCCGATCCTATTCTTTTAAATTTTTTTTAGACAGGGTCTCTTTGTAGCCCCAGCTGGTCTGGAACTCACTATGTACACCAAGCTGGCCTCCATCTCCCAGTGATCCATCTGCCTCTGCCTCCCGAGTGCTGGAATTAAAAGTGCACATCGCCACACCTGGTGTAGTGCTATTCTTTAGTTCTTTTTGCTTTTCCTTTTGTGTGTGTGTGTTTGTGTGTGCTCAGCTGGTTAATATCTCAAAATATTATATGACCTCCCTCTCCCAGTGATCCATCTGCCTCTGCCTCGCGAGTGCTGGAATTAAAAGTGCGCATCGCCACACCTGGCGTAGTGCTATTCTTTAGTTCTTTTTGCTTTTCCTTTTGTGTGTGTGTTTGTGTGTGCTCAGCTGGTTAATATCTCAAAATATTATATTTGCTAATAGTCAATTTTATATCATTCCTTTCAGGAAAAGCATTATTATTCAAAGTGAACTTTCATGAGAATCAGAGTCATAGAGTTTCTAACAAATGTCTAACCTCATGGAGAAAGAAATGAGAGCCAACGTGCAGGGGACCAAGCAGGTAAGAGCTAAGTGCGTTTCCTTTCCTGCGACGCTGATGGCTACGAACACCCGAGTTATCACTGCAAATCTGCAGAGGTATGAAACAAAGATAACCAGTTCCACAAAAGGCTGATGGAGCCAGACACATTGAAGCCAAGTCCAAAAGGCCATAAAGTAAATTATACCAAAAAGTGTGCGGGAATCTCCAGAGACACAAGGCAGAGACACAAAAGTAAGTTCCTGTGATTTATTCAACAAAGGGTAACAGCCATCATGTAAAAGTTCTCCAAATGTAGAAAGAGGAGACGACAGAGCTGGGAATGTAACTCAACTGGGCACGTGCTGGCCTGGCATGCACAAGGCCCCGAGTTCAATCCCAAAGACTAAGTGAAATGTGACTTTCTGTGGAGAAAAAGTTACGAAGTGCAACTTTTCCAACAAATGACATCTTTGAATCCTTTACTGCTGTCTGTTTGCATAGA